TTAATTTCTCGAATTTTTTAAGTGTCAAGACCTTTGGACGTGGTAATATATTTTTGTTAGTAAGATGATTTTGTATTAAAAATTCAATTTTCAATCTTAGGTTCGACATATATGCAGATCGAAAGATATGAATTTTTCGAGTTTTCACACTTCGAAAACGAATAATATATTTACGACTTTAAACTCAATTCGGCTTGCTTTTCAGTTGTACAAAGTTCAATATCGATATTTGAAACTCGAATTCGTCATGGAAATCTGTATTTCTATTATCAGACCCAAATGTCGTGACACTCAAATTAAGATGTAGTGAGTAATCAACTATGAAACTACGTCTTTAAAGCATCTTGTAGCTTAGCGTGTTACCAAGTAGCTACTCTGTAAGTCCAATATCTTCTCAACAATCAATAATAACTGTAGATCAGAATATGAGATTATTTTAACTCAGAATTATTTTCGCTCAATTGCTGAAGCTTTCTATCTACACGCACTGTTTTAAGTATGAAGGCAGTATGCAAACAGAAGGATGGCCTGTGACCATCTACTATCAATTATTTGTCTCTACTCATTTTATTCCGATCGATTGACATCGAAGCTTGAACAACTTAAATAATATATACATGTTGATGTACTTCACACTACTTGACATAAATAATACATGGTATTGAGTAAAGAGTATACTAAAAATATATTTCATAAGTAATGCATGTACAAACAAACAAAATTAAGCAAAAAAAGAAATTAAATCTAAACTCACACTACTCAATAAAATCATTGTATTTTTAGAAAATTCAGTCAATTATATAGAAATTAATATTCAATCCATTAATTTGAATTTCTATATTCACTCCATCAAGTATTTCTTTGTGTTGTTGAAACATTTGTTTCATATTGATCATGTTCGTATTTTTTCATACAATCAATAACATCTTTCCAAAAGTCATTAGCAATAGTTCGTTCGAACAATAAGCTGTCATATATTTCAAATGAGTTGTGTACTAGTAAATAAAAAATAAACAGAAATAAATAAACAACATTAGTTCTTTTTACCATATGGATCAAGAACTTGGTATTCATTGATCGTAGGAAAATAATTGCATCGATAACACTGTAAAAGCTTGGAGCTACTGTCTATAGAAAAAAAAGAATTACATAAACTTTTTATACTTTTCAACGTCATAATAACTTACTGCATCCTCTTGGTAGAACTTGAAAATTCATTGCAATTCGTCTGTTTTTACAAATTGTAAATGGAATCTTTGTACCTAAATGAGGTCTTAAATCAAAATAACTACAATATTGATCTCCTTCTAAAATAATTGGACTTCCAGCTTCGAATGAAAAGCGAATACCCAGATATTGGCCTTTATCAATTGGCATATTAAGATCCGTAAATGTTTGTATGCCAGTTTTTTGCATTATTCCTTCTAATGGTTTATATTCAGCGATATCGAATTCATTTGATATTATTCCAGCTTTCATTACGAATAGGCATATTTCAGGTTTTGAAACTGTTGGTGCAGTTGAAAAATGAATTGAAACTTTGTTAATAATGCCATCTAATTTAACTTGATCCTTACTATTGAACGAAATCATATTATGAATAGTCCAACATAATTTATTATTAATGACAAGTGGACCATATATGATAGCTAAATAAAATTTCAATTCAAATTTACATTCTAGTTTAATACAAAACAGATAAACTAACCATTTGCCTTATTTTGAAAACAAGCAAGAACACGTTGTAAAATTAGTGACAAATATTGCAAAAGATTCAATGGTGGAATACATGTAATTTTCCTTGAATACTCATTGACAAGAAGAAATCGCTGATAGGCATAACTATTGTTAGCTTTATCTTTCATATCGTCGAATGACTTACTAGAAATAGAAATAAATAATATCAATATGAGAACAAAAAATTGATATTACTAATAGATTGAAGAAACGAGAGATAGACTGCCAATAGAATTCAAGTTTCATTATTATAATAATCCATCTTATCATGGTGGATTCGATATGATCATGAGTAGAACAAAATAAAATTCTACTGTAATTATGAGTTTGAGGAAACATCAAAGGACTACCAAACTGAATTCATTGTGATAGTATGAATTATTAGAATAATAACAAAACAATCGTTACTTTGTTTATTAGTTTTAGATTTCAAAATTAGATCAAAACCTTATAAAATCAGTAAAAAATTTTATTCTCAACATGCTTTCTCTGCTGATATATGATTTAATGGAGTTCACCAAGAAAAGTACTAGTGAGTAGATTTGATCTCGCAGATGACTCTATCCTTTATTTAATACGTCTAGAATTTTTCAATCGATTTTGAATGATTTCTACTTGTTTAAGTTATAGTCGTCAAGCATAAAATACAAGTATTTGTAATTTTAAACATCATTCAAACTTTTCTTTTATTTTTTGCAGAGACATAGATCTGTAGGTCTCGTTTTTAATATTTTCTATGAGTCTTAGTAATTTTTTGAAAATTATTTTTTTTCTTCTATTGGCCAAATACTTGGTTTCTAAGCTTATAAATTATTAGAAATAAAAGAATCTATTTATTTTCTCTTGGAATTTAGAAAAAGATTTTTCAAAATTTTCATATATTACAATTTGTTTGGATGCACTTTGCTTTTCTTGTTAGAAAAAAAAAAAAAACTTCTTCATAAAAAATAATCTTGCTAGTCATACTGTTGTGAAAAGATACGAAGTATAGAAATCGTTAAATGCTTACTTGAACAAAGCAACAAGAACATTTAAAAGAAGAAGATTTGCAATGCAAACAAAAATGATTGTTAAAATGAATGTCATATGTCCATAGGCATCGTTATCAGCTAGAATTTAAAATAAAAAATAAAGTGAATGACATATTGATTATTAAATTTTACAAAACTGTTACCGTTTAGCGTAATATCATCGACTGTTTTTTTATCTAGAATTTCAACTTGTCCATAAACTTTCCACATACCCCAATCGATAATGTTTCGAATATGTGTTGGAATCATTTTCAAAAATTCTAGATCGATCTTATCAATTTTTTTTTCCCTAAACACCAATGAATGATTGTTGGTTATGTTATTGGTAGAAAATTCATTTATTTCGATGGTCTTATTATTAGTTATATTGAAGTAATCAACATCAGACATAATTGTATCATTCTTTTCAATCTGATTTTTCGTCATCATCAATGAATATGATGTAATTGAATAGGCCAACAAGAATATGAGTATAAATATAGGAAAGATGAGTAAATCTTTTGCCTTGAAAGAAAAAATAATTATTTACATTTACTGAGTAAACGATATAGTGAAAGGTTTTTTCTAAAATATCCTTACAGCTTTAAATATCATTAACAATTTAGTACCACATCTTTTGGATGCCGTAAAAAGTTGTAAAATTCGGACATACCACAAACAATGAGTAATACATATTAGAATTCTATAAAACGATAAGAGATTTTGATAATTTTTTTTTGTGTGAAAAAAGAAAGTTACTTTGGAACAAAAAACCAATTTTTGTCAACTAAACGTGTAAACAAGCTAAAGAGATAACAGCACATCGCGATTATATCAATAAGATTCCAATAATTATCTGTGATGTATTTCTTAAAAATTCGACATGTCTTTAATGTACTTCTTTGTTTGTAATAGCAGATGATCTAAATCATAAAGAGATATTAGGATAACATATACTATCTATTTTTATTTGTTTTTCTGATTTAATACTTGAAACAAAAATCACTATCAGCGTAGTTTCTACAGAATCAAAATATGAAACATAATGAAGCAACTTTAATTCTATATTAGGACTCTCATTAATACGATTATTAATGTCAGAATCAACTGAATAGTATCTTGACATGTCTATCATAGACTATGACACACATGTAGATAGTTTTTAACTATTTGTGAATCACGTAATGTATAACGTAATACAATTATTTAAATAACTATTTATTTAGAAATATTAATCCGATGATCCTAAAAATCACCGAAAATAATATGTCGACATATTTATCATGGCATGCATGTTGGTACCCGATTTTCTTCCTACATATATCAATACTTATTTGCAAACGTGTTGTACCATTGTCACGCGCATATGTCGTTTTACTTTCTTTCCTTGCCAAGACTAACTGATTGAACATTTATACAAGTCGAGATCATTTGAAAATGTGATTTGTAATGCATGACTAGAGCTGTCAACAGTGGTTATGAAGTTTAGCTTGAATGTTGGAAAATTTTTGTTTTTTCCTCAGATGACAAACTTGAAATAGAATGATGATCGGAAAAAAGTCATTTTTCGAAGATTAATTGGATGGTTAATCAATTGTTTAACTGTATCTAATCTAGGAAAAAGTTTTTAGACTGTAATACTGACGACAACATATGTCTCCTTTTTCCTAGCTTGTGAAATCTGTCGATTCAATGTTTCATTCGTTACAAATTATTATTCCTGATGATAAATACAATTCGCTCGATGGTTCAAATAATAAACAAGCCTTATTCTAGAAAAATGGCTCAAACTTCATGGATTCAAATTTTATTCAAGAAAAAAAATTATCACTATTTCGACTAAAAATATTCAACAATTTTATTATCCTCTCATTCGAAGTAAACTTTCATTTGCTTTCTAAACATCTTATTACTTGCAAAGTTAATTACTAATGAAATTATAATGACTAAAACATATCATATGAAAAACAAAAAAGATGATTAATCACATCATGAATATGTAATCAGTGTACAATATAAAAATTTTACTTGAAAGATTTCATCCGCAATAATACCGATCATGCAAATATGAACAAATATTTCTTTCCATGATATACCAAAAAAATTCTCTTTATTACCATTGCTAGGTCGATAATCATGAAGTAGAACAGTACTGAACAAGAATAGAAACATAATTGTAAATAACTAAAACAAAAAATAGACAGTAATCATTATAAAAATGGCTAAAATCTAAACAGACTCATCAATATATTCCTACATACTTACAATATTTAATCGAAATCGCACGCATGGTGATCTAAAAAATTCAAAACCAGGACCAGGTAAACATATGGGATTTATTAGACATGTCTAAATTAGCAAATATAGACATCAAATGACAACTGATTTATTATTTGAACATACATGTTTTACTTACCTGTAGAGCACGAATACATATTGATGAATTTGTATCACGTATGATAGCACCGCTCCATTGTCTGTCAAGATATTTTTGTACACATTTTGTTCCTAAAAACGACTGGCTACCAATTTCTTCGGCCAATTCTAATGGACTATAATCAAAATAGACTTCAGAATGTGATGTCAATATTTGAACGGCTAAATCTTCATGTATATTAAAACATCGATTCATTATTATTGTTGCATGTTTATCGAATATTCTAAATAAAACATTTCAAATATATATGATATTATAAATTGTCAAAAAGAAAAAAAAAATATATTATATACTTTTCTCGATTTTGATAAACAAGTTTTTTTTCAAAATTTTTTTCAGATTCGGCAGCAATTTGATAAATTTTACTAGCTAAAAGTGATGCTACGATTGTATTCTAGAATGATATAAGATCGATTGATTGATGAAGTCCTTTGAATTTTATCGAATTATATTTAAACAATTTTTAATTACTTCTGTTTGAGAACACAAAAATGTTGTCATATGGAAACGATCCATTAATATTGTCCAAAGTAATAGATCTCGAATAAAACCTACAGTATTCAAATCATTTTTTATCTATTTATTTTGTACAGATAATCACAAACTAGATGTGGACTGTATTTTGTAAGTGAATCTAATAGAATGATTTTCTTGTCGTGTAAACGTAATTGCATTTCTGGTTAAGTATGCATTATTGACAGAATTCATATCAACATGATATGAGACATTGCCCTGAACTCGATATAGTTGACCGGTCTGTTGATCAAAACCAATAGCAAGATATTGACCTTTGTCTAAGTAAATAGTCGAGTCTGCTATCGAGAAAAAGTAATCAATAGATACAGGCTCGCCATTAGGTTTGTTGTTCCGAGTTTTACGAATAGATTGTATTGGTGTTGAATGTCGATAGATGATATTGAATGCATTTGTCTCTTCTGCTGTCGATATGATGTATAAATGGATTACAGGATTTTCTGGTGGCTCTGGTAGAGGAAAAGTGATGGATACTTCGATGACATAACCATTAGATTGAACAGCATGGTTCAAAGAGAATATCACCGTATCATTCATTATTTGTTTCATTGCATCAAATTGACCAATGATGCCATAATTATGACCTATTGAAAATAAAAATTGAGTCACTGGTATAAAAAAAGCCTTCAAAAAAATCTGTGTTTATTATGTTGGTTAGAGTTTGTCATAAGACCAAAGGCACATCCATGATGTAGTATCTTCTCCTGTTAGTGATATAAATTAAGGAACTATATAACGCCAACAAAAGATGAATATTTTCGACTCAATGGTTTCAAGTCGATTCTAAATCCAAAGATAAATTGAAAATCCAAAGCAGCATCTCGATATGAAAGAAAAGACAGATTTTGTATTCCAGGGATTCTCATAGGATTTTCCGGATTTTCTTTGGATCCCATGGATTCCCCTCGGATACTGGCTACATTTTTAGCATGATAAACTGTCTTATTATACTTCAATACCTTCATCTTAGTCTTAGAGACTTAGGCTAACTGGATTTTCTTCATGACAGAAAGTGAGAAATGCAAAATTGAAAAACATGTGCAGTGAATACACCATACAGTGAAAATTAGATTTTCAAAATACTGAAAATGAAATAACACTTCTTCTTCCTAAGGTTACATCCATAGAAGCAAATCAAAAGATGTACAGTGTGTATGTGTGTGTTAACTAGAAAGCTTTGGTGTTCTGCATGTTTTAGGCTATGATTTTTGCTGTTTTCTTATAAAATTTCTCAGCTTTATTTTAATTGTCTCGGACAGCCACTCAAGTAAATTATTAAACGCACAGCAAGTATCCTCCGTGTCTAATTTTCCTTATTTATAGTAGACAACATCCCCATGTCCTCGTTTAGGATGGATTGCATACATTCTTCACATGGCTCAGCAGGTTCTCTTCAACAAACTGAGTTTACGATCACTGAAGGAATGAAAGTATATGATGTTTTTATAAGGCAAAGCGTATATTGGCAGCATTTAATGCATTTTTATAGTATTTTCATAAAATTTTCTTAGTACTTTCACGACCCTATGGAGTTTCTAGGGATTTGGAATCTTGAGATCCGCCTTTTCGCCCTTGAATGGGAGAATTTTTCTTAAATAATTTCGCTCCAGTACCTTCAAAATTAAAAGTCTACAACAAATTCTTCTAGTCTACGAATCGAACCAGCTACTTAATGATGAAAACCGTTCAATGTTTTCTTTCAATTTGTGAATTTAATACTAACAATTGTTCGCGAAAAACTTCTGTAAGTTAGTACAAATTCAAGCATTGAAGTGCAAAACAAACCTTGAGCATTGGAATAAAATTTGATCGTATTTGGTTTAAAACAAGTTGCATAGTACATCTGGCGAATATCTCCTTTTTTATCGACAATGGGAAGCATTGCTGATCGGTCATTTTCATTCTAGTGTATATGGAAAGTCATCAAAAATAGTCTTAATCGAAATAAAACTTGTCTCACCAAATTTTTATATAAACCATCAGCAGTAATTATTCGACGCAATCGTTCGAATGATCTACTATCTTCAATGAATAATTCAATGAAACGTACATCATTTTGGTGCATTGTAAACATTAATGGCTTATCTAATTCTAAGAATGGCCAATTCATAGTACTTCGATGTTCGTATATATATTGTTTTACTCGTTCATATTTTTTACATGCGATAGCCAATATGAGATTGCTTGCTCTCTTTTCCCATGGATTTTCGGCTATTTGAACAGCTATTTTATGAAATATAGGAAATGATATGCAAAATAAAATGTTTTGATAAATATTAACTCACCATGATGATGTGCATTCAATATGACATCATCAAGTTGCGACTCTGGTTCATTTTCAGACAATGCAAATGAATTCAATAAAAAATAACCTTCTCTTGATTTCATCATTTCCGTGAATTGTCTTGTAATTCTAAAAAAATTTTTGTAAGATAGTTTATATGAGCAGATAAAAATTCATTGTTCTTGAAACGAAAATAAACTTTCAGAATTTCTCTTGTTTTTTTCTACTCTAAGCCTTATCTACTAGATAAATGTGTATCGATTTCAACATAAATTAGTAGATTTTTGTTATCAATTACCCGTTTAATGTTTCTTGATTTGGGCCAAAAGTTTCTTTTAAGTGACTAAAAACGAGTAGTTACAGTTAGAAGATTTTAGATACAAAAATAAACATCAAATTTGACGTACTAATCATTAAATTGAGGTTGTTGTCTGGCATTCTCGTATTCATCTTCCGATCGAATTTGATTTTCACCATATAAATATCGATATTCGTGAATAATTAAATCTGCTACACCACTAGTACCCTAAAATATTTATATGACGAAAGTGTCAAATTCGATCACACACATATAAAATTACAGTAATAGCAATGACTGGTATTTTTCGTCCAATTGCTGTGCAGACACTTGTAATCGATGAAATATTGCCACCGATGAGAATTTGAACGATTGGAATGACATAAGCTATTTAAAAACAAATATTTACTATAAATGTATTTTATTGTCGAAGATTTATCTATAGCATAGTCTATTTCTTAACAATACAATACAGATGTTAACTACCACTTTTTCCTCAAACAAAATGATTTTTTCAGCAAAGATAGAATAAAAAGAAAGAACATTAATCTCTGTAATTTGATGGTCAGAACTATGTAAAAAGATCCGTTACATAAAAACTAGAGCAACGTGAAGTACGAGTAACATAAATTAGTAAATACTTTCGAACGATTTACTGATCGGATGGTCATTAATTCGGACATTGATTTGAAATGAGAAAGTAAAAGAAAAGAGTGCGCCTTATGCTGAACTAGTTCACCGACGTTTTATCGGCGATTTTTCGTTGACTTTGAATCCCATGCGTAATCACATAAAAATGCAGACCATATTTTGTTCTCGATGTTTCAATTAAGAGTGCCTCAAATACGTTACTCGATGTACAAAAAGAAGAAGTAAATTTTAAAAAAAAGGTAAATTATTCAAAACTTTTTATCAAATTTAATTTTTGAATAGCAAGGAAGAGAAAATAGATTTTAGATTCGATTTTTTTCATGGTATTTTCATACACTATTTCAACTATTTTAGTGGTTGTAAGGCGTTCGATCTAGTCGAACGACAATTTTTTAAATCGACTTAAGTCTTCGATTGATGAAGAACAAATGCTGAAAAATCTCTAGAGTTTTTTTTTATTGTATTTCGATTTATTTGTCAAACATCTTACGTTGTCCGTATTTTGTATTTATTTGTAAATTTTCTTCAAATTCTGTTCGTAGTCTTACGAGCCTATTGATGTCATCTTGAGGATTGACCGAATGGGGATCAACATTAAACATAAGAAAATGAGTATGATTATGATCCAACGGAAAAGTTCTTGGTATTTCTTCGACTGGTAATTGCCATGTGCGATAAAGTCGTTCACGCTTCTAAACACAAATCATTTGCAGTGTTATTGACAGAATAAAACTACTCAATGTTATTTCACAATACTGGCTAGCTCAGAATGAATGCAACGATTCATAATAATGATATAAAAATGTTTTAAATTTTCGTTTCCAGATTTGAAATTTTCTTTCAAAATATTCATCGTTCGATTTTCGAATAGAGTCATGCATCATAAAAACTTACACTGAATACATGTTGCAAAAAAGAAAGTGTTACTCTTCAAGATTTTTGTAAAACCAGTCAGAGTAAATTATCTCTTCGAACGTATTTAGTTCTCACTATTTCTTATGTTAAGAATTTCAGTTCGATGGAAATAGCATGAAAGTAAAAGAACCTCCAGTAAGCAAAGACGTGTCAAATAGAATAGTTGTGACACTGATAATTTATAATTCATGCTCAAAAACTGTTTACCAAATTGGGTATTGTAGTATGCCATTGTGCCAGTTGACTTTTATCTAAACATAGATATACATATATATATATCAGAACAATGCACATTATGTAAAATAAAGGTAAAAATATACATGCTATAGAGTTCCAGTTGACAATTCCAATACATCGAATATTCTGTACAGCTTTTATGTTCTTATAACGAAGTTGATCAAATGTTAGACCTACTTCTTTTGCTACACCCAAATGTAAACCATTAGTGATTATCCAAGCATCTTCAATTAGAAAAAATGTTGATATACAATTTGAGTATTATCTATAAACAATAATCATATACTCGTGTTTAACGCTGCCGATATAATTCCTTGTTGAAACAATTTGCGTGTTTCAGTTGACACATTTTGAAAATATTCTTCTCCGCCCACCATTGATAGAATCACCTCTGGTGGCGACTGTTCATATATCTTGGGCAAAAAGTCATCAAACTCAATGTTTTCACTCGACAAATTCATATCACCATCGGCAACATTACGATGGTTTCCATCTGGAATTACAGCTAGATATTCCTCGCATTCGAATCGAACGTACTATAAGAACATAGAACATATAGAATTTAGAAAAGTTCTCAGTGTAATCCCTATGGGATTAAACCGTGAAATATAACGCGGGCACTATAATCACATTTTAAGACTTTGTCTACATTAATAATGATTCGTGGCATCATCGAAAACATAGTAGACTTTGCAAATTTTCAACTCAAACTATTTCTCATGAGTGAGCAGCTATGAGAAAGTATTGTTACCTCTACAAAATCTGTCGACGGTAATTACATTTGAAACGTTTCTTCTCCTTCTGTTACAGTTCTAATAATTTGAGAGCATTGTTAGTATAAAGCTTATCATCTCTAACTTATATTATTATTGTATTCACTTTAAACATGAGTTGTAGGTGTGGATGTGAGTGTTTCTTTGTTTGTTTGTTACTCACTCACACTCTCAGAGCGTTCAAATGTTGTTCGTCGAACCCTGGTAATTCTGGAAAAGAAACAAATCTGAGATTTCAACTTTGTGTCAATCGAAAGATAGCGATTCTTTTTTGTTTCATATAAGAAGTCGAAACTGGATAGGAAATGCTCTCAACATTTTTTATAAAGGATGAATATGATTAACTAACTACTTCATCAAAAACATAATCTATTGAATCTTAATTTTTATCTAAAAAAAAGATCATTTTTACAAAGCAGACTTACGCATGATTTGCGATGATTATTTGCAAAATGTATCATACCATAATCGTTAGTTAAAGTGAATTTAGACTTTAGCAGTCGTCTACAAATAGTATATCATCGATATAAAGATTTCAACAACAACATTTATAGAAAAAGTAATGATTAAGAATGACTATATCGAAAACAAACTAATTATATACATACAGATCGTTTTCTTCCATTAGTTCACGTCGATTTTGTATTTGCTAAAAAGAAAACCAAAAATACTGCGTCATGATTTATCGAATGTGATATACCTGATTGGTCATTCTTGTGATTAAATCGGTTACGAACATCTTATCAATAGTTTTCGATTATTAATCTACAAAAAAAAAGCTCATATGCACACTCAGATATTCTTGGTTATTACTGTTTACTATTTTTGTTCCTTTAAATGGTAAAAAACAAATGTGTTAGAAAGTTTCTGGTGTTAGGTACTAGTATTGCATCATATGTAACAGAATAAAAATATTAAATTATGTCTATCTCACAACATGAACACCTTTTACTCGAGGTCTACGAAATGATGTGAAGCCCGAAAATATCTGAAATGAATTCAAGTTTTATGAAATCATCTGACTCTATACTTGAATTAAGACTATGCCAAGAAAATGATCATTCTGAAAACTAGGAATCTTCATTTTCACATGTATGGACTGCTTAGATCTCGTTCTCAAAGTATAAAGTTTATGATATCAATATAAATAGAGCAATAAGAAATAATAATGAACATTTCAAATTCTTTCATATATAAAAAAAACAAAATGAGATTATTATTGTTGATGAGTCTGTAGTAATTTTGTATCTTATATCGATTGTACCAATATTTATTCACTGTCAGATCTGTTCAATTATCAATTACTCAAATGATTGTGAGTATGTCTTCTGTCTGAATATATAGACTTGCTTTTGTGAAACACGACTATTAGTGAATATGGAAACATATAGATAGAATATGGGAACCTTTCTATACACGTATCAGGTTGCTTCACAATAATGCTATGCATGTCGACTTATCCGCCAAAATCTTTCTTTAAAATTGTAATCTCATAGAATATTAGACTAAAGCCTTTTTTAAAATTATTCAAGAAACTAGCAATAAACGTCAACTCGACTGATTTCGATGATGGTTGAGAAAGAGAACTACTATTATGCTGTATACGCATTTTTCAGCCTTGAATTAGTAAAATATTAATATTTGACAGCTGTGAATATGATGGGCGAGGACGAAGAGTCCTTGCCATCGGCAACTGCATCCAATCCAAGAATTCGAAAACGACTACAACTAAGTATGTAGTCATTGAAGAACATATCTCATGAAACGTGTAGGTAGACAATTATTCAAGAATTCTCTTTCTATGCAATATCCTACTAATATTGCCTCATGATTCTTATCGTTTATTTACTTTTCTCTCGTTATTTATTTCTCAAGATCTTTCTTTCTTTAAGTGATAGTGCTTGGCTGACGTCCTCTTTCATATATACAGACATTCGATAATTGCTTTTTCGTACATTCTTCATGAAACCTCTTATGTATACTACTTCATGATTCAGTCAATTTCATTTCATGTTCTTCTTATATTTCTTTAGTCGGCGTTTTTCTTTTACTCTAAATAACACGTATTGCATTGTATTTTGTGTTTTCCTATCAATATTTATTTTGATCTTTGTTTTATGCAAAAAATAACTGTGTAAGAAATTCATAATCATACATCATATAAATTCTCGAATGCTAAAAATTACTATTACTTTTGTCATTAATCGTACCATAGCTTGATCTTCGTGATATGAGTCTTCTATGTAATTATGTCATAATTACAGAAATAGATGATAAAAAGAATTCTAATCATGAAAGAATATTTTATGTTATAGTTAGTGAAACATACACAGAAGAAAATCATATTCATTAAATGTCTTACACCAATCGATTTCTTCTGTAATTATTACAATTCTAGTCTTGATCTTATTTTTATTTCTCTATATATAATGTTCTCGTAGACTACGAAGACAACTTTTAAAATAAATAAATCTTAAATATTAGAATGAACATTACAATAATTAGAACTGTCGAATCAACATGGAAAAGTTATCTCTTGAAAAAAAGAAAATATCTCAAATGTATTGATAATAAAATGTAGATGTCGTTGAGACATATATTATAACATATACCTACCAAATAACTATAGTTATTTGACATATATATATGTCAGTGGAAGTAATTATCACAGGAATAGAGAATCGATATCACTGTGAAGTAAATGACACAGTCATCAAAACAGAACCGATCTTGTGATGCAAGAAGCAAAAACTACAAAGCATAGAAAGAAAAAAATACGCTATTTACTCGCGACTATGTACCAAGAAAGCTTTTTCTTCCTGTTGTAGAGAACATTGTTTTCTTCAAGGCATTAATATAATATCTCAAACCTATAAAATATATACTAGTGATAATTGTTAAATGACATATTAGATAAAATTCGCACTCTATTAGGCAACCATATTTGATTTAATTTAAAAAATAATTAAAAATAAATAAAACGATCTTTGTTTCTTGCTTCAGATTTTTTTTAAAATGATTATATTGCTGTCTAACTCTAAATGACGTTCTGCACAAAAAAGAAAAATCTCTTCTGCTACGCAGTCACGACTAAACAGCGTTTTTTTTTCTTCCTATGTTTTTGTGATTTTTCTTCCTTCATCACAAGGTTGTTTCTATCTCCATCATCGTGTTTTTCATTTGACAATGATATTTATTCTCTATTTTTGTGGTAGTCGCTTCTAGTTGTATTTACTTAGTGAGTTTCCAATATCAATCGCAACGACATCTACAATTTATTGTTAATACACACATGATATATTTTTTGTTGAGATAACTTGTTCATTTATTTATTTCAGAAGGAAAAAGGCAGAGAAATAGAAAAGAAAGCGATTACATTTACTGAAGAAACTAATTGGTATAAGACATTTTATAGATGTGCTGATATATATCAATTTGATAGAATGAAAGAGATGTCGAAAACAAAGATGTTGAAAATAATATTTTATACCATACTGTGTATTCTTTTTCTGTATTTGTTTCATTAATTATTTCATAAGCTGTTTGTTCACGATAAGAACTCTTTTTATCGTCCATATTTGCAATTATGATGTAATCACAAATTGCATAGAAACCAAGGATCTACCTAACCGATCCACAATTGATTGATTGAGTAACTGGCATTGATAGATGTATCGGTTCCTTTTAGCTTCGAACGAGCTATGAAGTATACGTTTAATATTCTCAGTTCGAGACTATTTTTCTATTACTTGATACATGCACATAATGATTGTGGCTATTCGGATGCGACGTGCAGGATGAAAATATTAAATAGAGAACTAAGCATCGGTCTAGATGAGCATGATTGTGTTTCGATTTAGGCCAAAAATTTTTTTTCTATGTCTTGGCTAATGTTAGAAAAATCGAAAAATTGGTAAAAGTATCCCGGTTCTTATTTACTTGATTTATGTCGACTATTTATTTCTAAGCATTCATTCAAGTGCACTCTGTTCGATGCCATATGAACGAGAAAGTTTAATTGGAAAATAGATTCTAATCACACAGTCAAATCATTCTAAAAAACGTGTGTTAATCGTCAATCAATTGGGATTTTTGGATGCCATTCAATATTTCTAAAAAGCAAATAATTGGTTTTGGTGCGAATGCAGGGAAGACGCACTCATCAATACTCGTACCCACACTCTAACTATGTAAACAGAATTGTTTTCGATTTGAATGAATTTTTTAATGAAACGATCTGATCAACCTGTTTAATTACTATCTCTTTAATAGGTTTAGTAAATATTCTTTTTCATTTTTATACAATTATCTTATTGAAAAATCATTAAAATCTACGTCAAAGACTATTGTATATTGATATTCATTAAAATGTTTCATTATATTTTAAACTCAAATTTTGATTTACTATTTACGAAAATATAAATGAATATGTTCTGAAACAATAAAGAAACATTTTGTAATGACTCGTAGTAATTGAGAACAATAGAAACGTGTTTCATTATTTTTAAAAATACTTTGTGATCATTGATAAGGTTTTATAGTCAATCATAAGATTAAGGAACGAGGCAGATAATTTTTTCTTTTGTAAAAAACATTGTTCTGCACAGTCAATGTGCTCCAAACTAAGGTCAAGATGGATAAGATAAACAAATTTGATCAATGATAATGAATGTTGTTTATGTTTTTTTGTGGTGTTGGAGTAATCAAATTTAATTTTTAGAGACAAGTCAAATCTTTGGAAATTTTCATCAATAAGTGAAATTTTAATAGACATTGACTAGTAAAGTGTTGGAAGTAATCTTTAATAACTAACGTACGAATGATATTTTGTGGAACTCACATACACTTTCGAAGAAAATTGTCAGTGTAAGTTTTCAGTCGAAGTTACCCAACTCTCTCCTTCATAAAAAAATATGTTTATAATCAAATTTTTGCAAAAAAAATGCAAAAGCTCAAACAAAAAGATCTAGATGGACCGTTAAAGAAAAAGCTACTTCTACTAGATTGGATTGATCGTTTACCGTTGTCAGTTCCAACTCTGCGATAAATGAATCTTTAGCATGATTCCCCTTTTCTCTATTCATTATGAGAAACTACAGAGTAGAGAAGCGATTGAATGAAGAGACAAGAGACTCGTTTCTTCAGAATTCATGGAATTGGGACCTTCTTTTTTTTCATTGATGTCAACTTGTTCCTTCTTATTCCGGATACTTTTTCTTGACAAGCTTCTTTCGAATGATTGATTAATCATTGGTTCACTTCTCACATGACTTAAACATAAACCGAATACACGAATGAAACAAATAGCCACATCACAAATTCAGTCGACGATCGACTTGGAACATCAACAATTGGCTGATTGAGGCATGAACATTATTGTTTAAGATGTGATCATCAAAAATCAGTGTACTAAACTTTGGTTACCAGAAAACAAAATCGTGTTTTTTGGTGCTTCGACTCTGATCGCAGCATTACCAAACAATAGTACAGTAGAAAGATTATATCTTTACGGCAATCATCTATCTAACAAAGGGGTGAATTCTCTTGCAAAATTTGTTAGACATACTAAAAAAATCACAACATAAGGTACTCCGAAAGAAGCGAGTCGAATGGATTCGCTAATTCGTTGCCATCTTGTTGGAGCAATCGTTTCGTACTAAACACACTAGAATAGTGGCTTGCTAATATTGATTAGCTTTCAGCTAAATAAGCTTGACTAAAATATCTATGAGGAAAAGCATTATTCTGTCTTCATATTATGATGAAATTGAAGTGATCACCTTCGATCACGCTGAAAGTTACTATTTTTCCTCATATACAGAACCCATGATCGAATGAACTGTACACAGTAAGCTCTCATGACTTCACTCAACTTTATCATCTTCTGTCTTGCAAAATATCGATTGCATCTACATTAGTCATTACACAATTTCATCGAAACAAGCGTGGGTGTGGGTGTGGGCCGACATGAGTGTGGGCCGACATGAGTGGGGGTATGATATCAGTGAGCTCTTCAATGACACCTCTACCTCCATCCTACATCTACACACCCAGCTTACACTCACTATTTTCTTCGCAATTATATGTGAGTTCCACAAAATGAGCAAAGCTCTGTGTTACAGTCATATGTATCACTCTTTGACTCATTGGTATTTGTTTATTCATTTCGCATTCTTTGATGCTTTATTTCTCTCTATATATCGCTCGCTATACTCGCTTAAGAGGGGATTCAATCTCGAAATAAAACGAACATCAAGAAGGAACTGGGGTAGTCTTCATATTTGGTGCCGTGACCCGTCTTCTCTCGATCATTTTCACATAACTTTGCAAACACCTGTGTATTGGGATTCTGTCACATTCATTAACTCTTCGGTACAATTCATTTTTTCCATTACTATTTACCTAAAAAAAAAAGAACAAAAATCCGAAAAACAACGTCTCAACAACGCAGACATTTTGCGAAGCAACATCCAACCCGGTAACTTACTACCACACGATATAATCACATACGGGCGCATCCGACATCACGCTGTTTCTACGGATACAACTACTTCTTCACATACTATTTCAACTACCAATATGGAACTAAATCCTTTTCAAAATCTTCTTAATAAAACTGCTTTAAAGGAACTACACAAATTTACGAACGATCCTAATCAGAAAGTTACTCAGTTTATTAATGCTGTTGAACACATCGGTCGCTTCGCTGGATTGAATGAATCGATGCTACATTCTATCGCTACTATTAAATTAGGAGGATCTGCCTTTAATTGGTATGATAACAATAAAGATCATTTACAAACATGGCGAGATCTAAAACAACATCTTCTTGAACGCTTTAAACCATCTCCTTCTGCTATCAAAACGCGATTGAAGGAAAGAAAACAACAACCTGGTGAACTACTTAACGCCTACTATGATGATATTATTGATTTATGTAAACAAGTTGATCAAAATATGCCGCTACATATGATCGTTGATTATTTACAAGATGGTATGCGCAATGATTTAAAAATACACGTCAAACGTCGCCTCAAAACGCTCGATGATGAACCAACACCAAGTATTTTTTGGAAGATCGCTCATGATGAAGAAGAGTTACTGAACGAAATTCCTTCTGAAACCCACCAATCAATCATTCCAACATCCCCATATTTTGCACCTGTCACTGCTGTCACTCAAAAACAACAAAGCAGCTCTGAAAATTCTCTTCATTCACAAATCCTTCAAAATACTCGTACCACAGATTACATGCACATTCTTAACAAATCACGTGCATATCGTCCTCGTCCCACACAAACGAATCACTTCTATCCATGTTTGATCTGTCAACGATCAAATCATCGTACTATCGACTGCTATCATAGACAGCCACGTGGCTGTTACAAATGTGGTAACCATAACCATAATATTCGTGATTGTCCCCAGGTTTTTCAATAACTGGGACTCAAGATGGCGGAGATCTCAGTAATACTATGCCATCATCATCAACATTCTCAAACCCTTTTTTATTCGTGCTCAAATCAACCACACCTATCATAATATTCTCCTGGACACTGGCTCCAGTATCACTATTATCCATAATCAATTTTTACAACGCATATATGACAATATGTTTGAACCTTCACAAAATTCTTATATCTCGGCTAATTGTACCAAGATCAATATAATCGGTAAAGTTCAACTTGAAATAAAAATTAACGGTCTTTCCACTTTTGTAACGGCTTCTGTTGCTTCGAGTCTCGTCACTGATGTCTTAGTAGACACTGACTGGATCAATCAATATGTTCTATATATGGATATCTCTACACAACGTTTAACTTTGCAAGATACTACAGGTCAAACTACCACCACTTCACTCATTCAATCGAACAATACATCATGTTGTACAGTCCGACTACTCGATCAAATTACTATTCCACAATACTCCGAATCTGTTATCAAAGTCGCAGTACATCTTCTAGATAGTTCAAATTTGTTGTTTGAACCGTCTTCAAGTTTTAGTCAAAAAGCAGTAGTACTTCCAACAGCTTTAATCAAAGTGACTAATTCTCAAACACACTTAACTGTTATCAATACCACCAACCATCCATATATTTTACCTTCAAATACGTATCTCGGTACTGTTTCTTCATCATTACTAGTATGTGCAACAACATCACCATATCAATCTCAGGCAACACAATTTCGATCACCAAAAAGACGTCATTATTCTCTGAATTCATCACATAAATGCTACGTCTGTCATCAGAAATTTTTATCACAAAACAATCTTTTTCATCATCTTCGTGTACAATGCTATCCACAAGAATTACGACATCAAATTGAAACATTAACATAACACATCGACTCCGCCTCGCATCGCAAAAAAATCCAAGATGTCCTTTGGAAATACGGTAAACTGTTCGATCTACGTCAACCATCAAAAATCAATATCACTCTCGATCATGTGATCGATACCGGTCAACATCGACCAATCTACACTCCACCTTATCGACGTTCACCTCAAGATCATCAAACTATTACCGAAGAAACAGACAAACTGTTAAAACAAGATAGTATCGAACCATCAACATCACCTTGGTGCTCACCTGTCGTATTAGTGCGTAAGAAAGATGGTACTACACGATGTTGCGTTGATTATCGGAAACTAAATGATATTACTGTCAAAGATTCATTCCCGTTACCTCGCATCGAAGATATTTTCGATCAACTGTCTCAATCAACATATTTCACCACACTCGACTTTAAAAACGGCTATTTTCAAATTCCATTAGCAATTCGTGATCGTCCTAAAACGGCATTTTCCACTCGCGATAATCATTATCAATTCAAAGTCCTCCCTCAAGGGGTAAAAAATGGTCCACCTACGTTCCAACGCATAGTAAACCAAATTTTAGGTCCTGCTCGATGGAAACATTGTCTAGTGTATCTAGATGATGTCGTCATTTTTTCGAGAACTTTTGACGATCATGTCTCTCATTTGGATGAAATCTTTTATTTACTTCACACACACAATTTTCGTCTAAGTTTCGAGAAATGTACCATCGCTACTGATAGCATCAATTATCTGGGTCACCACATTTGTCGTGGAGAAATTCGTCTAAATAATGATAATATACGCGATTTGTTGGAAACTCCAACGCCAACAACACCGAAAGAGATTTTTCGTTTTTTAAAAGGACCCCAATACTACCGTAAATTCATTTCCAACTTTTCCCGTATTGCTAGTCCTTTATATAAATATAATCCTTCCAACTCTACACATCCATCTAATACTAAACCTACAATTTTTACATTATCGGCTGACGAACAAGCTGCTTTCGAACAAATCAAACACATACTCACTACCGACCTTGTTCTTCGACTTCCCAATAATCAACTTCCTTTTAAAATACAAACAGATGCTTCACAGCTTGGTATCGGTGCTGTTTTATTACAAACCTATCCTGAAGGTGATCGTCCTATATGTTATATGTCTAAGAAGCTTACACCTGCTCAACAACGCTGGTCTCCTATTGAACAGGAGTGTTATGCGATCGTCAAAGCTGTTGAATTATGGCATCACTATTTACACGGTAATCATTTCATCTTAGAATCTGATCATAAACCATTAGAAGCACTCATGCGTAAATCTCAAACGAACGACAAATGTGAACGATGGCGTTTACGGCTACAATCATACAACTTCACAATAAAACACATCAAGGGTAAATCAAACACCATGCCGGATTATCTATCTCGATCACCAGTGGATCACGCTGAAGATGACATTGACGATAACGTTATCCCAACTTCTGCCTCTATTAGTACTCAAACTGATACAAGTGACCACGACACTTTTTCAACATCATCAATTGTCGGTATGGTCACTACTCGTTCTCGTTCTCGTCAATTACCACAATCCGATAATCATATTACCACTCCACCAAACACCAATCGCTCTGAAGTTCAAAATCATCAATCAACATCATCAACTTCTAAAACTACTACTGATAGTGCACGTATTGGATGTACTGGTGCTATTGATCAATTGAAACAAGCACAACAGAAGGACCCTGATCTACAATACATAGCGAATCATCTTAATGATAATAAGTATATTAACTGTTATCTTTTACAGGATGGTCTCTTAATGCATTATGAACAACACTCAAAACCTGTTCCATGTGTTCCGAAAGGAGAAATTCGAAATAATATTATGAAAATCTATCATGATACTCAAGCTAACGGCGCACACTTCGGTCGTGACAAAACTATAACGAAAATCAAAGCTCGATACTATTGGAATACCATGAACAACGATATAACTAATTATGTTAAGTCATGTATTCGTTGTAATCAAAATAACCCTATTCGCTGCAAACCTCCTGGTCATCTGAAACCGATCGAACCACCGGAAGGAGTTTGGCACTTATTATCAATGGACTTTCACGGACCAATTACTCCTACTAGTCGACGTGGCAACAAATACATTATTTCAATCACTGACGTTCTATCCAAATTCGTTATTGCAAAAGCAGTTCGTGATTGTACTGCTGATACTGCTGCTCGATTTCTTCAAGAAGAGGTTATCTGTAAATATGGCACACCGAAATGTGTTCTTACAGATAATGGTACTCATTTTACATCAACTATGATGGAACATCTACTCAAACGTCTCGGTATCACTCATTTGTACGCAACACCCTATCATCCTCAAACTAATGGTCAAATTGAGCGTTTCAATAGCACGATGAATGCAAAAATTGCTGCCTTATCTAATCAATATCGATCTGATTGGGATGATAACCTTCCATTTGTCATCTTTAATTATAACACAAGTTATCATTCCACTACTAAAACTATTCCATTCGAACTTATGTATGGACGTTCACCTGTCCTACCATTCGATCTGTAAAACCCAAACGTTTCCCTCCAACAGTCATCTCACTATGCTCAGAACATACGTCAATACATATCACATCTAACAAACAATGCGAAAACAAATATCATTCATGCACAACATCAGTACAAATCTAGATATGATACCAATCGCTCAAATCCTACATATTCCATCAACGATTTAGTTCTTATAAAAAATATTCATTCACGTCACAAATTTGATATTCGATATGAAGGTCCATTTCGGATTATACGTCGTCTTGATGTTAAAACATATCTTGTTCAACATGTCAAACTACTCGATTTGACAAGACAAGTAACAGTCGATCTACTTATTCCGGTCTCAATTATATAGTTATCTATCAACGATCCATTACTTATGTTAATTTTCAACCGTTCAATACATACTATCAAACACACTCAGTATGTTTTTTTTTTATACATTCTGTTACTCATCATACACTTTCCTACTATTGTTATCTACATTCTTCACCTCTGCCATTTTTGTCGAACGCCTCCCTTCATCATCGCCTTATATCTCTTCATACTTTTCTTCATCCATCATTTATTTCTCACTTCTGTACATCCTCATTTTCTACTAACCATGTTCCATTTCATCGCTATCTTCTTCAACTTTATTTTTTCATGCCTTGCGATTCTTCCCAAAAATCGAGCCAAACGATTCCTTAATGCTGAAATAAACCAACGCATGTCCGTCTTAGAACAGTCACACAGCATTCATCGTGATCAGACAAACAACATATTCATTGAAGGTGCTGTTGCAATTGGTATCGTCATCATTATTCTCCTCGCACTTGTATTCTTCACATATCGCCGCCTTCGTCGATCTATACGTCATCGTCAACCTCTCGCTCTCCAAGCACTTGAAGCATCTGGCCTTAATCAACTTCATCCGATGGGCAACATACTTATGAGTACCCTTCGTCGTTTCGACACTTTAGAACAGGCTACTCAACCACCTGCTATACGTTATGCATCTTCACCTGCTTTACCACCTCTCAAATTTTAAAGGTACTTACAACCTTCGTTTTGTTTCTTCTTTTATTTGTAATAACACTACCATATTATCGTTTCTTTCACATTATCATTGTGCATACACACATATTTGTTGTTCTCGATTATATATTCAGATTCTATCAGTTTCTTTCGTTTTTTCTCTTTCTACTGCATCATTATACTGCTGCATATTTTCTTCATATTATCACATTTTTTTTATCATCTAATCCGATTGTTTCAATTTTGCTGGTGTTCGTTTTAATGTGTGTGGACCCACATTTCTGTCGGTGGGGAGGTATGTTACAGTCATATGTATCACTCTTTGACTCATTGGTATTTGTTTATTCATTTCGCATTCTTTGATGCTTTATTTCTCTCTATATATCGCTCTCTATACTCGCTTAAGAGAGGATTCAATCTCGAAATAACACGAACATCAAGAAGAAACTGGGGTAGTCTTAATACTCTGTGTGAATGATTCGTTGTTCTGTCATAAATAAAAGTGTCATGTATGGGTTTTCTATTTAAAGTATTTTATCTGACTGATTACGCTTTTGTTTTTGCCGACAATTCATTAAATGTCACTGTTAATGCTTTAGTGATCGTTAATATACGTGAAGAATAGAGGAATAAGCCAATGAAAAGATCGATGACCGTAGTTAGAGAAATCTCAGATATCAAGGCAGCACTTGAATATTTAAGAGAGCACCCATGAGGGGGCCAAGCAACAGAAACACTGATAAAATTTAAAATTTTTGTTTTTTTAGGTGCACTCGAAAGGCCATCATCTAAAATCACTAAGCCCACATTTTTAGCTCATTTGGATGTATTATAGTAAAGTTAGTCCGAATCGACTCTTGAGCACTATCAACCTACTATTGAGAAAATAGATAAAAATCGTTCCATAAATGTCTATTGAAATTATTTTTCAATAAGTCAGAGAAGTTTTTCATCCAATATACCAAAAGATAGAGCATCAATAGCTGAACAAAATGAGCTATTTGGATTAGTACATATCATTTACTTATTGGAGTTCTATAGTCTAATATGAATCGAAAAGGACATAATTTACAAGTTCATAATGGTCGATTTTTCACAGTATATCTACTACCATTTTCTTAAATCATAAGACTTCAAGCTGAATTTTGGATATGTTATGCAACTTTTCATTCTCTACAAAATGGTAAAAATCTTGAAGAAAAAAGTTCATTCTCGATGTGATATGAACCATACATTGCCAGCCTTTAGGATCATCATACCATATGACTTAATATAACTTGTATGATTTCAAACAAGTTCACTCAATTTTTTTTTTCTCAATTAGACTCTATTATGTATAAGTGACAAGCACAAATCAAGACCAACACTCTAATGCTAAATATATAAGAATATACATGAGACTAGTCAACTCAAATAGAGCTACAAAGTATTCGAAGTATATCCATGTCCCATCCGGTAACCAAGGCACTTGGCCAAATTTTAGTTTTTGATTTGATATATTCACAGAGGTGCAGAATCTTCCTCATGCGCCCCCGCGCGGGGGGGGGGGGAATTTTTTGAAAAACACAAATAATAGGGAAATTTTGGAAAAACCCGCTGGCCAAAAAAAAATACAGTGGGGAAATTTTTCAAAAAACTTTTTTGCGTGGGGGGAAATATTTGGATTTTTGGAAGATTCTGCACCTCTGTATATTCATCAAAACCTATATTGTTTGACACTTTTACAAACCAATTTGTAACGTTTGATATGGTTGTAGTGAAGAGTTAGGCAATATCAACTTTTATTGATACGTCAATTACTATCCTAATAAATGTATGAAATTGCTTTCGAAAATTTGTTTCTCATTATTTAGCAGAAAATGAAGCAATCTTTTTATCCAAATATACCAAATAATAGAAAATCACAAGGCGAGTATAATGAGCGATTCATATATTATATGTTAAAGGATTTATTCTGTTTTATTAGACCAATACCCTCTAATTTTTTGTATTTCGACCACTGAAACTGTTGATCTTTTGCAATGCATCAGCTATTGCGTTGTTGCATGTTAAACTTGACAAGATAGTTTTCATACATATTATATAATTTTTCTCCTTTATAAAATGATTAAAAAAGTTCAAAACAATATCTATCTTGAAGATAATAAATCATTGTAATAGTGACTGATCTATCGATATTTACATATTTTTTAGGTTTGATTTTTTTATCATCTTTAATAATACATAAATCTCAAGTTATATATTCATATTCATACATGATCATTGGACGATTGTTAGACATATACATGGTTAGAAAACCAGTATACGAATATTTGACATTAATATCGAACTATGGAGCAAAATAATACAAAAACTGAAATAAAGAAAGTTTTTAAGGAATTGCCATGAAAATTTGGTATTAGAAATTAATAGTTTTTATGCTAAAGAATAAAAAAAAATTGCTTAGATTCTGGGGTGATCATTAGACAGATCTAACTGAATCATATTATTCATTAGAAGACGAAGAACAAAAAAACGCGATTTAGCTTGAAAAAAAAATGTTGTTTGCAAACAAAAATCTACAAAATCAATAGAGTACATCGTACTAAATTCTGTAACTTGTATTTATCGTATAACTTAATATATATGTTGCCATTATTGAGCATTCAATGCTCTAGATGTACCAATATCATTAAATTAGTTTTTCAAGAAAAAAAAACTGTTTAGAATATGTAAAGGTCAATATGTGCAATTTTAGTAATCTGATATCAACTATATGTATGAAAATATCTATCGAAATCTTTTTTCTTCGAGGCTTTTTAATTATGTATACATGAATATAATATATGATGCACGTACCGATAAAAAGTAATTTGATTTTGTTTTCATTACCTTTTGCTCTTCGATATTATTTACGATACACATGTATTTTGGTCCTATTTCGATAGCAATCTTTCCTGCGCTAAAATCATTCAAGCAAATTGTTTGCTGCACCACGTGGATGGCTCGCCCAAACGCGTGTGTAACAGGCTGTATAATAAAAAATATTAAAAAAAAACAGTAAATTAATACGGAGCAAGAAGAAACATACATTTGTATTGTTGTAAAGGTAAAAAAGCAGAACCACTCGCCGAAACAAGTAACCAGTATTATACACACAACTTCCACTCTGATCAACAGCAAGTCGGCATAAAATTTTCTTTATTCATTCGATTTCACTGATTTCGTTGTGGTGAGTAAAGTAGCACAATAGTGCTAAAAATATATAAAATTGATCTCGATGATCGATTGATCCAATTTTTTTTTTTGAAAAAGGATGATCAAAAAGTTTTGACCCCTCTCAATAAATCGATAATATCAATAACAAACTTATATGAAGTTACTGATCAAATTATGTCATTTTGTAGGATGTGGATGTATGAGAGAAAGGATAATCCACACCCTACTTCGCGACCCAGTGCTAACTAATATGAGAAGAACTGGTGACTAATATAAGCTCAGCTCTCGTAAACTGATGAACAGCTTCAGCCCAGAAAGTTCGAATAGTGCTGTTACATACATAATAATTGTAGTTTATGGCGTTCTATCAAAGTTTTCGGAGATGTGGATTGTAATCTGACTATCCATTAATTGATATTACAATGGTGCACACATATACTGAAAGGTTTTTCTTCATTATCTGAGATGATAAATTTGGAAGTAACTCTTAATTTTGTTTTGGTTTTAAACCTTTTTGTTAGTGCTTTAGGAGTTAATTGCTGACTGACAGTTGTTTGTATAGTGTTTATCAAAATTAAGGATGTATTGTTTTATTTAATGATATTCAGTTAAAAATATTAATTAAGTCTTGTTAAATAAAATGGTTCACCCTTAATATAAAGATTTCTATATGTTATAGATGGAGATCTTGAGAAATGAGGTCAATAAAATCAGGAAGATTATATAATTCCAGAAACTTATATATTCTATGATACTATATTTATTAAAAAAAACTGAGTCTGAGTGCTGTTAATCGGTTTTATATATAAAGGATGTATTATCGATAGTAAGATGTCTTCTTTTCATCGTATGCAGGAGAGAATTCTATTTCCATTGGATCTAGAAATCTTAATGTTTTCATTTTTCATCTCTTTTAATAACTTTGTGACAGAGTCAGTAAATTACATTATTTCACTGGAGTCAGGTTATGAAACAAGTAGTTGACATCGAGTCGGGTTACGAAAATAATTTTGAACTTCAAGTGGGATCTTCCTGTAAACATTTTGCAGATACAAAATACTATCTGAATATTTTTTTTCATTTATAAGTTCTATCAGATCAAATATAAAACCTTAGTGAAACAAGATGTTATGTATTGCTCGATCTTTTCGTTTACTTCGACGACTTTTCTTCATCGACATCGGACCGTGATTATATAGCTAGTTCGTTGTTTATTCAACAGTGATATAAAGATCGTAGATTGTATACGTAAGAAGAGAAAAATAAACAAGAAAAAATTCTATCACATATTTATGTTGTCTCAACACCAATATATCGACAAAACATTAAGAATAACAAGAGATTCAAACCATAATCTGTGCTTCCAACTACGAAATGAATGGAAGAAAAAAAAAGAATTGAGACGTTACTTTGCTCAAGAGAACGATAACACTTGTCGATACCAGAGTACGACTAGGAGCAGAGATGTAGTCGGATCCAGCTGTGTCCGTGCAGGCCACAACAAAAGTTGACCCGTGTCGGACATTTATGAATAAGACTTGAAGGAATACATCATGTTTGCGTTAGAAAGAAGAAGAATTGATAGTAGGACTGAACGAATCAAGCCATTTCTAGAGTCAACTCAAGTCGAGTCAAGCTGTTTTGATATTTTCTCCTTTCTATTTACTTTGATAAAGATACGTTTACCATAAGTTTTCATTACACAATGTTTAGTTGCTAGTATCTTGTATGTAAACAAAAATAAGAGAAGACAAACATAAGATAAAAGTGTGTGGGTATAGGCTTTGATAAAGAGAAGATTCCACATTCATACTCTTTCTTGAGCAATAAATAATGTGAAATGTATAATAACAGAAAAAAATTGCTTATCAAAAATGCACTTGTTAAACGCTTATACTACCGCATGATAAACAATATGATGCATGATCCTAGGCGAAGATTCAACTTATTTTATTATATACATATGTATATCCTCTAAAGATAAACTGAAGCAAAACATCAAGAAAAGACACATACTCAATAATAAGTTTAGGCTATAATATCAGATTATATGAATACATAGGTATAAGAAAACTCTTGAAAAATTCTTCAGATTTTATTCATTTGATAAGGAAAAAGTTACGAATAAGTGAGAATAAAATTTTATAAAATAAAAATTTTTACTGAATCAATGACTCGGTTAGATACGTGTCAAACAATCGAGTCAGCGTTGCTCGATTTTCTAGTCCGAATTATAAGTCATGACTCAAACTCGCCTAAACCTGATTTATATACCAGATCGAAATACATAGTCGATGAATTATTTCGTCGTTTGTTTCAGTTAATGCGAGTGCATAAAAAAGATGCGGGTGTGCATCTGACTAACTTTTCTTCACACTGACATCCTACACCCATGCTCTCAAAATTTCAATCGAAGACTTATCATTTCTAAAATTTTCAATAAAAATAGTCTGTAAACTACTTTCATATTATCGTGAGACGATTCACAGATGTTTCAGTGAAGATTATTCTCTATTTTGTTAATTATTGTTTTTCTTATAGACTAAAATGCTTTCCGTGAACACCGATATCAATTTAGTTGAACCTTTGACTCTGAAACAGTCGTCCGTTGCTCATTCGATGGAAGATTCCAGCTCAATTCAAAACGTGCACGATTCAAACAACATCCTTGATTTCGGAGACACTTCGACAATGTCTGACGAGGTTGAAACGAATAAGTATACATCTTTTTTTATAGTTTCAGTTGCTATCCACATTCGTCTTTGTTAGAGAAAATGTTCACCAGTTAATGACTAGCGCAAGGTACGAACGCGTCTTTGCATTTATTATTTTCACAGGCATCATGATGATCATTGGTATCCTAACTATCTGTTTTACTGTATCAAAAAAACCAGGTACGTTGTTCGATCATTATCATTTTTGCTAGAGAAGTCAATGCCAAAGCGCAAAAAAGATCGATGTGTTAGAGTTTGTTTTAAATTTGTAGACAAAGTTCGGTAATACTGATCAAACTCTAAAATTCATCAATTCCAAATCGATTATTAATCGAAATTGTAACTACTGTCACTGTAAATGTGGCTTTAAATTTTACTCTAGGTTAATCGTAAACTAGTAGAAATTACAGCCATTCTTAAGCCTGGAACTGGGATATATTATTTTTAATCGTATGGACTACTTCCGACTGTGACTTGTGCCTAATGATATGCATCATTAAGGCGAATTTTCTTCATTTCATTTGTTTGAAATTGAATATCTTGAAATAATTAGGAGAATTTCTAAGCTAAAATTTGTGTTATGTAGACATCACAGTGAAGAAAAAAAATCAATCAGTATCCTTGTCTTGATTTTATTATGTGAAAAGAGATTAGTATCGCTCAGTACTACTGTTCATACTTAATCGTTGTCGTGATGTTCACACTACTGGTATTCTATTGAAGGTATGCAAAAAAAAAGAGGCGTTTTTATTTTCAGTCTTCAAAACTACAACATGAAGTTACGGATAAGTTTCTACAGAATAACAGGTTTTATGGAAAGTTGTCCATGAATGTTTGAGTTCCAAATTAATTTCTTCAATAGTAATTGTAAGAGCCAAAATAACATTTTTTCAACACAGTTCATCAACAAAAATTTCAATCCAACGTCTATGTCGACAATTGCGGAGGTTTTAAGAAAAACTTCTGGTTCAAATCTAGTAGTGGGTTAATCCATTCTTCGATCCGAAAATAGCCTAGACGAATCTTAGATCGGCCTGAATCCAAGATTGACCTACGACATATACTGTTCTCATTTCAAATTAACGTATTACAAAATGAGAAAATCATACAAAAATGGCACTAAAAGAAAAATAGGCACGATATCCATAGATTACTACAAAGTTTAATCCTACTAAGTTCAATCAACTAATTATAGATGTTTCTTTTGAAAGCGATCACTTGTTGTTGCTGTAATCCTTTGTCTCTTGTTTTTTCACCATTTTGAATGAGAAAAAATATCTACATTGCTTGTATCCTTAAGTCCATAATTGTTTTGCGAAAGGAAAGAAAAACAAGAAGAGAAACGATATACATAACAATAAAAGAAATCTATAATGAGATTGTCATGGATGCATCACATATGTAATCAATAAAAATACAGCAATAAGTAACCGAATAACGGCGACCAGGAAAAAATTGTCTACTAATATCCTAACAATAGTTTTTTTGCCTATATGTATATATCATGCAATGATTAATTAATTTTTAAACCAAACAGAAGCCTCACAACTATTGTCTGTTAAAAAACAAGGTCGTAGCCATGTTTTTAAACAAACAATACTTCGAAAAGTTCTTAAAAGGTTGGAAAATCAAATTAATGATTGTCTTTGAATGTTCATGGATCATTTCCATGATGATTGTGTAGGGTACATAAAATTTTTACAGAACACAACTTTTATTATCTCTTGCGACGGCGATTTGCACAAAGAATAAGCTGTCATTGAAAAAAGTAAAATAATTGAGCTTCTACTCTAGCTCGAAGTTGACTGAAAATGTTGAAACCCAAAACAAATCCCAGCTAAAAGCTAATCTTAAATCTGGGATCCACAATTGCAGCACGAATATAAAATCGCAAACGCTAAACACAGAAGTTTGGAGCTGATATTAGTAAACTAACATTTCTACTTTCTATCTCATTCTACAAAGTTTGTATTTTTTTCAGAAATTAGAGTTATGTCTCCAAAAAGAAATGTCATTGATTTCCAAATATATACGCTCATATCCTTTAATAATACCTATCACTCTATTCATTGCGTTAAAAGTATAGTCTTGTTTCCCTATAAATTATTCAAAGTAAATTTGAAGAACCTCAGCAAATTGTTCGATCCAGAATACTAGAAAAAGGATAACTAGGCTATATGATTATCGTAAAGTCATCTCAACCTAATGCTAGAGAATAAAAAGCTATGGAAGATAAAAACATCAGCTAGCAACTAGATAAAGAATAGTTACATAGACCATATCTTGTGGACTTTTTTGATTGGGCTTCTCCGAACACAGAAGACGTTGTTGTTATGCAGTCGGTGTGACGATTTTAGATAGAAGAATTATTAGTGCAGATGGAATAACATTTTATCATCATTCTTCATATCGAAGAGCAGGAGAGGAAGAAAGAAAAAGGTAGAGTCAAGATAATTGTGACAGAAGACAGATGCATCGATGTCGTAACACCAAGTGGTCAACTAATCAATGATATACAGCCCTAAAATAAGAAATGTCAAGCAATAATTACATCATGATGAATTTATAATTAATTCAATCACAAAGTGAAATTACATAATGATCTAGAGTAGACTCAACTGAGAGTATTACGAAGAAAACTTGAATTTCAAGCGCATTTATACATTGCTTTATTATTATGCTACTTTTTAGGTCAAATCTGTGCATTCACTCTAAAATCTACGGTCCGAGATTTACTAGATTACGATTCTCATCCACAATCAGTCGTTGTTTTTGATTTCAACAATGATAGTTGGTTAGATGTTGCCGTGGCGAATTCAAATGCTAACAATATAGGTGTATTTCTTCGAAATGATAATCATACTTTTGCAGCCCAAATGAATTATTCAACTGGTGCTGATTCAAATCCGCGCAGTCTTGCTGTCGGCAATCTCAATAGTGATCTCCAACAGGACTTGGTCGTTGCAAATTTTGGTACTCACAACATTGGAATCTTTTTCGGAATGAGCAATGGAATTTTTAAATTTCATATGACTTTGACCGCTGGATCTTCACGTCCACTTTGCGTTAGTGTCGGTGATTTTAATAATGACGGTCACTACGATATTGCCACTGTCAATTATGGAACTGATACCGTAGGAATTTTTCTTGGTCATGGAAATGGATTTTTTTCAAATCTAATTACTTTCTCTACTGGTTATGACTCACTTCCAGTTTCACTTGTTATTGCTGATTTCAATTACGATAATGCAGTCGATATCGGAGTGGCAAATTATGGCACTAACAACATAGGAGTGTTTCTTGGTTATGGTAATGGATCTTTTGGAATTCCAACACTGTTGACAACTGGTATAAATTCTCATCCATATTCTATAGCTGTAGCCGATTTTAATAATGACCTTCAACTTGATATCGTCGTTGTCAATCAAGGTAACGAAAATGTCTGTCTACTTCTAGGAAATCGAAATGGAACTTTTTCGTTGCAAACGAGTTTTTCAACTGGCAATAATTCTTGGCCAGTTTCCATCGCTATTGGTGATTACAATCAAGATAGTGCATTAGATGTCATCGTAGCCAATTATGGCACTTCCGAACTAGTTTTATTGTTGAATAATGGTAATGGAACTTTTGTAGATCGAGCAGTGTATTTCACACAATATAGTTTTCATCCTTATTCGATTGTCAATGCTGACTTTAACAAGGACGGTAGATTAGATATTATCGTTACCAATTATGATACCAACAATATGCAGATTATTCTTACATATAATAATTACACTATATCAAATCTAGCCACTTATTCAACTACTGATGATTCGAATCCAACATTCATCATCACCGTTGATTTTAACAATGATAGTCGCATTGACATTGCCGTTGCCAACTATCAGAAGGACAATGTCGGCATTCTTCTTCAGAATGATGATGGCACTTTTTCAAGTCAAATGATCTATTCAACTGGCACTAACTCTAGACCAAAATATCTCGGCGTAGGTGATTTTAATGGTGACAGTCACTGGGATATCGCCGTCGTCAACATTTGGATGGACAATATTGCTATTCTTCTCGGATATGGGAACGGTAATTTTTCTGACCCAACAGTTTACTTAGATGACGAAGGTGGCCAGCCAATAGGGATCTGTGTTGGCGATTTCAACAACGATAACTGCTTGGACATCGTCGTCGCCAACTATAGGACGAGCGATGTCAGTATTTTCTTCGGATATTGTAATGGTAGTTTTTCTGATCGAACATCTTATCAAACTGACGATAATATTGGGCTCATTGGAATTGCTGTTGATGATTTCAATAGTGATAATCATTTAGATATTGCCGTCGTCAACCAGGTAACGGACAGTCTCGGTATTTTTTTGGGACATAGCGATGGTAGTTTTTCCTATCAGATGCCTTACTCAACTGGCACTGGTGCAGGGCCAAATGCGGTCGCTATTGGTGATGTCAATAACGACAATAAGAGGGACATCATCGTTTGCAATTATTATAATGACAATGTAGATATTTTTCTAGGAAATGGCAATGGTAGTTTTTCCAACCAACAGACTTATTCTATTGGCAGCGGTTCGTATCCAATCTTTGTCACCACTGGTGATTTCAATAATGACAAAAGGTTAGACATCGCCGTTGTCAATGGAGGTACTTACAATGTAGGTATTCTGCTTGGGTATGGCGATGGCAAGTTTTCAAGCATAAGGACGTATTCAACTGGGGATGGTTCTAATCCAAAGGCGATTGCCATGACTTATTTCAACGAAGATGATCTAATGGATATGGCCGTCGCTAATATGAGAACTAGTAATGTAGGTATTCTATTTGGTAGTGTAAAAGTAACTGGCATGGGCGAAGCTATATCTTTCACAGGATCAGCTCCATGTCCACAGAGTATTGCTGTCGGTGACCTGAATAACGATAGTCAATTAGATGTCGTAGTCGGTAATTATGGCATGGATAATATTAAAATCTTTTTTGGAGATGCAAACGGAACTTTTCTCACACAAACAATATTTTCAACTGGTTTTTTGTCTCTTCCAACCTCTGTTGTTGTGAAAGACTTAAACAACAATAATCAATTGGACATTGTCATCGCTAATTCTGGCAATGATAATATTGGTATTCTTTTCGGACATGGGAATGGTTCGTTTGATGGTCCAATTACGTATTCCACTGATATAGGTTCGAATCCACAATCGGTCGACATTGGTGATTTTAACGGTGATGATCAATTGGATATTGTAGTAGCTAATTACGGTTCTAAGAGTGTTAATATACTATTGAAATATGATCCAGGTGCTTTTCAAAGTATGATATGGTATTCTACTGGAACTAATTCTAATCCAAATTCAATCGCCATTGGCGATTTGAATAATGACGGTCGATTGGACATTGTAGTTGCTAACAGAGGTTCCGGCAATATAGGTATTTTTTTTGGATACGACAATGGAACATTTTCAAGACAAATTACCTTTTCAATTGGAAGCTCGTCTAGACCTTATTCGGTAGCTATTCATGATTTCAACAATGACAGCCGATTGGACATCGCTGTCGCCAACTTTTGGAGCGGCGATGTTGTTATTCTTCTCGGATATGGCGATGGCACCTTCACAAATCAAATGAGATATTCAACTGGCGAAGACTCAGGATCCATATTCGTCGTGGTAGGTGATTTCAACAATGACAAACGATTAGATTTGGCCGTTGTCAACCATGTCAGTGCCAACGTCGGTATTCTTCTCGGATATGGTAACGGGAGTTTTAGAAATCACATGAGCTATTCAACTGGTAGTAATTCTTTCCCATTATCAGTCACTGTTGGTGATTTTAACCATGACGATTGGTTGGACTTCGCTGTCGTCAACTATGGAACGAGCAATCTTGGTATTCGTCTTGGCCATGGTGATGGGACCTTTTCAAACCAAACAACTTATTCAACAGGAGTAAGTTCGAAACCATGTTTCATCACTACTGTTGATTTGAACAACGACTATCGATTAGATCTTGTCGTTGCCAATTACCAATCGAACAATATAGGTATCTTTCTTGGATATGGGAACGGCAAATTTTCAAGTCAAACAGCTTATTCGACAGGTAGTGGTTCTGGACCGAATTCAATCATTATTGGCGATATTAATAATGATGGCTTACTGGATATTGTTGTCGCAAATTTTCTCGGAAACACTATTGGAGTTCTTCTAGGATTTAAGAATGACGATTTTTTAAGTCTATTGACATATTCTACTGGTGATGCTTCTGAGCCATACTCAGTCGTTGCTGGCGATTTTAATAATGACGGTCGACTTGATATAGCCGTTGCCAATTACGGTAGCAACAATGTAGGTGTGTTTCTTGGTTATGATAGTCGAAATTTTTTAAGAGCACCATCCTATTCGATGGGAAACGAGTCACGACCACGCTATGTTGTTGTTGGAGATTTCAATAATGATAGTCGGTTGGATGCTGTTGTTGCCAATAATGACACTGATAATATAATGATCGTTTTTGGATCTGGTCATGGTATGTTTTCGAGTAAAATGATGTATTTTACTGGCAATGGTTCTCATCCATGTAGTATCGCGGTTAGTGATTTGAATAAGGACACTCACCTAGATATTATTGTCGCCAATTCTGGTAGTGATACTATTGGCATTTTGCTTGGTTATGGAAACGGTAGTTTTTCAAATCAAGACACTTATTTCACTGGTCTTCATTCGAGTCCATCTTCGGTTGGGGTTTTGGATATGGACAATGATACACTTTGGGAGGTTGCCATAGCTACTGCTGATGCTAACAGTATTGTCATTCTTTGGGGTTACAGCAATCGAAATTTTACACATCGAACGACTTTCCAAAATAGTTTCGGTTCGCGTCCGTTTGCAATCGCGGTCGGCGATGTTAATCAAGATAATTTAACTGACGTTGTCATAGCCAATAATGGATATGGTAATATTGGTTTCATCTCGAAGACTTGTTAATGTTCGATTGTGATTTTTATCTAGAACTATATGTCATCACTTGCTCCTTACTGGGAGTGGACCATTTACATTAACTTAAAATTGAGTTTAAACTTATCACTTAACACTTAATATTAAGTGTTAGTGGATTACTTAGCACTTAATATTAAAATTAAGTTTTTTCACTTAACCACTTAATTCATTAATATTAAGTGATTGAAATGAAGAAAATATTATTTTATTTTGACTTTTTTATCAAATAAAAGTTAATTTAAAATATACTAGAACTGATCTCTATAATTTTTCAAGGCCTACCTAAAGATGATCACCATAACTCTTTAAAGCCTGCTCCCCTCAAAAAATGTCAATATACGTCAGAAATACGACATTGATATGAGTGTACGAGAAGATAGTCCAAAGTCTGCTGTTTCGAAAATGATATAGATTTTCATTTGATATATCGTTTTTACTAAACATTTTTAAGGAGCTCTGTCACTTCCCACTCAATAAATAAGCACTTTTTTACAAATATCTGAGAATCCTTTTCGTGTTTTCTGTTCAGCTTTTTCTGATTTAACATTCCGAAATTCCTGAAAGAACTTCATTGTAGTCAATAACTTTTTGTGTTTGAAAGAGCATATCAAGATGCAGAGCACTAAAGAGCCCTTTTTGTTTTTAAATTAAGCTCTACTTTTACTGCATATATAAACATTTATATGAATTGGCGCTTATTTTGAGAGTTTTTTGAGCCGTTGAACTTGTGATCTTTTTCTCTGCTTAAAAAGTAAGAATTAAAACAAAAGGATTTTTTTGGATTCTCCATTCTAATATGTTCTTTCAAACAAAAAAAATAAGTAGAATGAGCCTCAACAAAGAAATTTCGTTTGCCAAATATACTATTTTTGGTCCTTACGTAGCTAAGATCTCCTCCAAACCTCATGATATAAGACTGAAGATTTTATCATAGCGTCTCCACTATAGTCTCAACATATCCTGAAAGTCTTATGAGATTTGAATGTATCGGAACTCACATAGGTTTTTGAGGGGAGATGCTTTAAGGTCTATGAAGGTTGGTTCCTAAGTTGTTAACCAAAATATTATTTTGTATGTCTCATAGTTGTTTAATCTTACAGCTGGTGTTTCTAGAAGAGAATAGATACTAGTTTACTTTTAAACACATGAAAGCTATGAGTTGTACACGCAGCACTACGTGTGAGAGTAGCGCCTTGTATTAAGTAAGCTGGTAACTGAAAACCATTCTCCTTACGTAAATCATTCAGTCATACCCATATCCACACCCATACCCTATCAGTCACTCATTTCTTACTAAACAGATCTATTGTAGTCATATCCAATGATGGGAATATGGGTGTCATATTGCTGTTACCGTCACTTACACATACCAAAGTAACAGTAAGTGTTTTTACTACTGAAAAATTTCCTATTTACTACGGATAAATCATTTTCCACTTACTAGTAGGTTGTAAGTGTTTAGCCAAGAATAGCAAAGGCTATTTGGGGTACCTAGAATAACTTTTTGAGAGCTATTAACGGGACCCCTCTAATAGTCCTCAAAAAATACTCTAGATACTTCACAGTAGCCTCCAAAAAGTTACTGTTGGTAAGCTTAAATAGTTCTCAAACGGTTACTCTAGGTGCTCTCAAATACAAATAGTCCTGGACAAATTATGAATGATATCCTCAAAAAGCCCTTAATACTTACAGATATGTGCCTCCCTATCCAGTAACAGACACTTACCACTTACTTGGTAACAGTAGTAGGAATATGACACTCCTGATTGGAATAGACAAAATTTTTGATAGTCAAGACGAGGTCAAAGGGACTTTTTCATCAATCAAAAAGCATTTTTCTGAAGATTAATGAACTCTCTTAAAATTAATAAGAACGAAATTATTGTCTCCTTTAGATATGTTGTATGCGGAGATCGTAGTCGATCAGTTTATTGTGTGTCGATTCGACTTTGAACTTGTCGTGCAGTCGGCTTTCATCAGTTTGAATAAAATTGTTCATTTCTGATTGAAATTTTAAATATAAAATTTCAGTTTTGTAACACTTTTCTCCTATTCTTAGTTCTGCTTCAGCAGTAGATAGGAATAGAAATCAATGAGAGCAATGTGTGGTATATAAACATATACTGTTTTGATACTCGCAAGAGAAAATGATAAATCGATTCTTTCGATTAATGAATTTTCCGAATAGTATAACAACTTGCTCCTTATGGTCAATAAACTCAAGAGAATATTATCTCTTGCGTAGATTATTTGATGAACTTTGTATTTGAAATGAGTCTCTCATTTATATCAACTATATAAACTATTTTGGATATTTCTTAATAATCGTAATAAATATGAAGTTTGATATTTACTTTTCTTTCTCGTCGTAATTCTATAAGTTTCTCATCGCATCGTTAAACAATTATTTGACAATGAAGTACGTATAAAAATATAGAACGAAAAAAAAAGAAATATTCATTTATGTCTCACAATTTTTAAGGTAACGATCATATTCAGAACATATTATCAACTTTTATATTGTGCGGCGGTCGATTAATATAAAGAAATAAAAAAAGTTGTCCATCATTGACTATACATATATAAGAGAAGATATCGACAAAAAATGCAGAAACAATTATTTACATCAATATATGGCGTTGATTACATCTTTCGACAATCTACCCGATTTAGTATTGATCGAGGTGTTTGCGTATCTGTCATCTTATGGCATTCTTTGGGGATTGACTCATCTTAATCATCGTCTAACAATGTTAATAACTGAACGAGGTTTCTTTTCTCGTATTAATTTATCCATTGCACGTTACCATCAATTTAATAGAATTCTTCATTTTCTTCCATTGAATCATATTCAATTACTCTCAATTGATAGTGATGCATTTCCACTTCAATTAACTCGTTGGTCTTATTTATCTCCTTTGAAAACTCTGGGTATCATTGGTGTATACAATCATGATGATGTTTTAGTTTTTGTTATACTTCATGCAGCAACACTCACTCATATCATCATAAAATCAAACGAAAGAATGGTATCGGTAAATATCACCCATTTGTTTCTAATACATGTAAAACTCTACAAAATGAGGTCCTAATTCACATTGAACACAGAACATGCTTAACACACCACACAGCACTGCGTGAGGATGAGGACTGTGCTGAAAGTGAAAAAGTTTCCAATAGAGTGGAACCATTTAAGAAACAATTAAAAAGGTAATATTGGGTGTGACGTTAAATTCCTTACAATATTGCTAAAAGAAGACCAATTTGTATGCATTGGCTGTAAAAGATAAATTATTTTCACTATTTGAAACTTTTAGACTAATCAAAATTTGAGGCGAATAAAATTGTAGTAGAAGCAGTCAGAAAAGACAGATTGATTATTTTAGATAAAACTAAAACTGAAATAACTTCTATGCAAAAGAAATTGATATAAAAATACAATTGAATTTCATTGGATACAAATTGTCGGAATCGAGAAAATAAAGAATAAAAAAATATCCAGTTAAATTATTTGAAGTTATCTGATTCAAATATGAATTCGATTAATAAACGATTTAAAAACTATGATTTACATAACTAAATTATATAAGTTTATTATTACACTAATATGTTAAAATATAAAATAGGTTTTTATTCGGTATGAAATCTTTTTCAAACAATCATATGAAATTATTTGACTTTTCATTGAGACAAAGAAAATAGAACTAATCTGTTCATCAAAAATTATATCATATTCTAAAATACATCTGTAGAATTTGACGTACAATCATATAAGAAAGTTGAATCATTAAAACAAACAAAGCTTGCTATAATTTTCTAACAAATATCATTGTGAAACTTGTGATACTATTTCTAGTTCTAAATATATTTGAAAAGTATCTTGCTTGAATAATTATTGCGATCACATTTTTAAAGATAACAGTGATGAAAATCGTTATGAGATAAAATTTTAAAGAGAATAGATTTCGTTTAGCAATAATGTAGAATAGAATGAGAATTGTTTCAAGAGTCTAAAGATTTTCATCAATTACAAATGATATAGAGAAAACTTTCAATCAATCAGGAAACTTGCCAAAGATCTGACATTAATTACTATTAAAAAATTTATTTGAACAGAATCTTCACTTTGTTGATCTCTTTTTCAATCAAAGTGCTATTACTGTCAATCTGACACTCAAAAGACTACTTAGCATTATTTTTCACTAATAATGCGTTGATATTTATATACTGTTTTTTTAGGATAGTTTTTCAATTACATTTCACTATCCAGTAGGCGACATGGTGACGTTAATAATTTATGTTCTTCCTATTCATTTATCTGCACTTCAATCTCGTGACTTGGGCATGAATTATTACGGAACACTTTGGTTCATTACTACTGCGGTCGCTTCTCTCACTTATCTGCGTCTTTCTTTATTAAATATGTATATTTTGTTGTGTCTTATATCGACACATTACGCCAATTACACATGACAACAGGTGATAGTGATTCCAACACTCATTGTCCTGTGTCAATGTCTAATATATCGAGTCGAATGATTAATTTACCTACATTTGCACTTGTTCAAACATTTTTCTCAATGTTAACGATTGAATGGACAGTTTTTGAAATATTGACATCTTCGAATGTTATGCCTGTTGGTCGACGTGTTAATGTATCTCTGTTTATTAATATTAATGATTTAAATTGTATTAGTTTATCGGGATTCTTTACTGATCATCGTCCTGTTAATGTTCATTTCGCATTTAATCTTCTTAATTATTCTCAATATATCAAAGTGACGCCATAGATACCACGTAGAAATCGCTTCCATTCACGAGAAATTGTTGGGTGTGGGTATTTGAGAGAAAGGATAATCTACACCCCACACCCTTATTGTTGATTATATTTTTGATCGCCTTTTTATTTCCAGATGTAATATGAAGGAAATGAAAATCATTGTTCTTTACTTAATAATTTAGTTTTTATCTAACAATATGTCAATGTATTTCATATATTTATAGAGTCGTGGACGTTATCATTGCCATCATATGTGGTATACTCTTCCATGGACATTTTATGAATTCTTCCACGAATATATTCCATATAGATGGATTGCCAAAGTACAAGTGTTTGAAATATCTTCTCACAATACTACGGCAATGGATCAATTATCTCTTTGTACATTAGATGCAGCAGGTCAAACGTTGTCATCACCTATATCCTTTTTATCTCATGTGGCATTATCCAATTATATTGAAACACTGTACTTGTCCTATTATAATAGACCTATTCATATAGATTTATCCGCTCTTGGCCATATAATTCTTCTAAATAGTGTCAATTGTCTCAACTATTTCTCTTCATTTCCAGCAACTATCCGTTCTATTCACATTCTTCTTTGCCATATTTTTCCGAACTGTATGTTATCAAATTGGCCAGTAATTTTACACTTTTTTTCAACTTTGCCAGAATTGAGTTCATTACTAGTGTCTATGTATGACTTATCAAAAACTGTTGATGACAAATATTGTCATATAATTGCAAAGGCAACATCATTGTTGAGAGATTTTGGTTTATACTTTCGACGAAAATTCAGCTCATTAGATGATGACATGAAAACTACATTTGAAGAACATAAAAAATTTATTTAACAGTTATGTGATCAAATACTCCTATTATGTCTTGATAAACAACTTTATTATTCAAGTGAAGATGAGGATTGTGGACTCACAATGTGCTTCTAATTGATATATAAATCTAACAGGAATCGGTTTTAATTATTGTCAAATGATTAGAGAATCTGTTTGGCACAAACACTCATCTATCTTTATTATTCATTATTTCAAATAATAGCATAGAATTGACTGTCATCAGTGATGTCATCAAGAAGAAAAAGATTTTTTTACTAAAATAGTAAATAATTAAGACGAAACAATTTTCAAATTGTACTATGTCTCTTACTGTGATGTAGTGACATTGTCATATACATGTTTTCTCTATTCTATTACATAAAAGGCTTTCTCGGTATTGTTACTTTCTTTTCATTTTCTATATTCCTTTCTTTTCTTGATAAATCTCAACTTCTTTAAATGTGAATACAATAAATAAATAATCCAGTAGGATAAGTTTTACACTAATTAATATCTGAGATTTTCGACCTTTATGAATACGGTAAAGATGTCCAAGAAGGTGCTACCGCGCCGCTGCTGCCGTAGTGGTGAGGGTGCGGTAGCAATCGTTTTTTTAAATAATCATCACGGCAGCGGTGTGCGGCAGCGATGGGTTTTTTGAAGAAGAATGTAAAAATGCATGAATGTAAACAGAAATTCAATACTCGCAAGTAGGAAACAAGGTGACTCAACGAATCTTGTCGATTAGTAATAACAGTTCTAGGCCTAAACAGTCACAGTCGTAAAATTCACAACAGTTTTCTAGCAACCATCGCGGCAGGGTGTGGAGTGTGAGCGTGGGGTGTGGGTGTTGTTGAAAAAAGAAAGAGCAACACCCACATCCAACATCCACACCAAGACACCCACACTGTATATGCAGCTCTAACTTTTAATATTCTTCATCGTATATGCTTGTGAAAAGCTCCTCTTTAAAGTATTTTTATGTTTAGTTTATCTCATATGCATGGAATCATTCAAAACTCCGAAGTAGAATACGTGTTCGATTAAACATTTTGCTTTCATGAATG